CAAGCAAGCTGGCACAGAAATGCAGTCTGCCCTGTCAGTGTGTTAGGGGACTACATTTAAATAATTTTTACAGAAATCTTTGAAATAAGGAAACTTCACTTTAGACTGAAATGAGAATTATTAATGTCTACTACTTAACACATGCCTAACAAAGCATGTTTTTAAAAGCACTTATAGTTAAATTTAATGAATCAGTGCAAAAAGGTTCACTTATAAACTTAAAAGATTTCCTATTTGCACTGTTTTTCTTAAAATCTACAACCGATTCAAGAAAATTAGCACAAGCAAAAGTTCCTTTCCTTTTTTCCCATACTGACATAATTTACAACCCTTGATATAATCAGAAGTACAATGGGTATATTTCCTTACTGTCTTTTAATGACTTTATAAAAAAAATTATTATAAAAATTAATCGGTAGATTCCCTATCACCTGCATTTTCTTTGGCATTTTACAATGAACACTAAACCACGCCTGGTAGCTCTAGAAATTTTATTAGAGGTTAATGTTTCTATATAAATATTCTCTCATAAACAACTGTACTCTAGACGGCTGCCAGATATTTTTATTGTCAGTTTGTCTGCCAGGGAATGTTACATAAACATACAATAGATTTTTATCTACATATTTTATCTACATAATCAAATAGAAAAAAGAGGAAAATTACAAAATACAACATATACAAAATTTTGCATAATAAAAAAATTCTATCAGATATATATAATTTGTATGTACATTGTACTGAAAATATGGAAATTTACAACCACCATACCGGTACATGATATGGGAATGTTCACAGATATTATATTGGATGGCATTGCATTTGACCATGTAAAATTCAGTGAAAATACAAAGAACAAAGAACTTAGGATTGACAGAAGATTTTATAGATGAATTAAGATTGACAGATGGTTTTATAGATGAGTTAAGATTGACAGATGGTTTTATAGATGAATAAGGATTGAATGCATCGTTTTAATAGGAACATGAATGAAAAGATAAAAGATTTTTACATAAAAAAGATATAAATATAGATTGAAATATAAAGATTGAGCGTAATGGTATATATTAAATGGCTGTAAAATACTTTGTACTTTAAAGACCAGCTTCATATATGTAAGAATGAATATATAAATATTTCTGGGTATAAGAAAACCTTCTTTCATGAAAGTTAAGACTTCTGCTTGGGAGGTTATAAAACTTTTTTTCTGAGTTCTGTCTCAAATCTCGTGATTTTCATTGGTCAATGTACATTTTGTAGCAGTTTCTGACCAATCAAATACTTGAGATCTGAGTCTGAACTCAGAGAATTTCTTTACAACCTCGGACCCAGGCTGTATTTCTGAACTCATTAAACCTGAACGCTTTTTGGTGGTTCAAAAAGTGTTTGGATTTCACAACTAACACTTCAGATTTTCAAAACAGCTTCAATGCTTTCCCATTTTCTAGCAGTATTTGATATGACCTCTATCTCAGTGATATATTTGAATATTATCATTAAAATAACAGATGTATACAAGAAGCAGAAAAAATTCTATATACATATATTTCCTAAATTAATAAGAATTTGAAAAAGCAAACCCTCTGAAATATGATAAAGACTGTAGGTGATCTACTCCCTGAGCTCCAATGGTTCTATATTACAGACCTTTACCACCAGAACTAAGCCAGTATGTTAGAGAAATGCTCCACAGCTATTTACATGCAGAGTTAAGGACTATATGCTGTATTGTGTAAATGAAAGAACTGTTATATACAATACAAAAAAATGAAATTCTAAAGAATGGATAAAAATCACTACATTTGTGTGAACATGTACATAAGTAAGACAAACAAATGTACATTTTTTTGGATGAATTAATAAACATGTGTCTTAAACATAATATAAACATGTATTAGTAACAAGACAAAACAATGCTACTAAACCAGGTTTTCAACAATAGCAACTGCAAACGGGGGCCACATTCTCAACTCTTTTTTAGTACCAAAAATGCTATGAGGTGAGGGTCATAAAAAGGTCAAGGTCATATTGGAATTACTTACTGTGATGTTTTAGTCTGTCCAAGTATCAACAAAATCCATGTATAAGCACTAAATAACAAAGTAACACATGCCCTATTCCCTGAAACAAGGATAGTATGTGTAGTAAGAATAAGTAACCATTATATTAGTCACAGAGAAAATTATCATGTAATGGTATGTGTTAATTAATAAGGAAATACAGTATTAGCTAATGAATATACCATAATGTAAAGAATCATACTCATTTCTAGAGATTGGTCCAAACATAAGCTTGATATATACCAAGTTTGATTACAATATCTTATTCTTAACGAGAAACCACTTGTTTGTTGCCTGCCTGATTTCATCAGCCATTTATCAAATGAATAACAAGGATTTGAAAACCTGGTTAAAAACACATCAATAGAGATACTCCAGTACTCCAAAACTCTGCAAACATGTTTTTTTTTCCCATCTGATCATAGAGTACAACAAATTTTTATGGTAAAAACTTGGTATGTTGGTAAATATGTGGCTAATAAGCCCGTTGTATTGATCACTTTACTTATTGTGAACCGTAATGCACTGTGACACTTAATGGTAAAAGTTTGTTTGTCACCCATGATATGATGGGAAAAACCCACATTTGCATGGTTGCCGAAATAAAAATCACCACCCAAAGAACAACATTGACAAAAAGTTTTATGTATTAATATACGTAAATATACAACAACAGTTACTGTATTAATGATATGCATATATATCAAAAGTAAAAATTCATAAATTTCATAAAAGTCACAACTAAAGTGAACATATGACACAATGAGGAAATATACATGTCAGTGAAAGATATGGAAAATATTTCATATGATAAACAATAAACATAGCTTAATATAATGCTTAAGGAATGGAAATTTCATTTCCTCTGGTAAAAAAATTCATCAAACATAAGCTGGCTGGATTGACCACAAGTCTGATGGACAAGCTAGGAATGCATTATGGGTATAGTATATCACAATGAAATGTACTATATAATTTAAACTAAATAATTCCATGAGTTTGCAATAACCTTTCATTCGCTCAGTCAGACACCGCAGGTCATTCTGTACATACAGACATTTATAGTTTGGTCACTTAGAATTACCGGTAAGATAAAAACATTTATGGTTACACAGAACTACTGTAACATTCAACTTGACTGTTTTATTAAATCCTAACCATGCTTAAAGTGACGTTATGTCAATCACAGTGTAAATGGTGATAGTTGTTTTCAATTTTCAATTTTTATTTTTTATAAGTGTAAAATGATATGACTCTCAAAAAAGTCTATAAATATCCTTCAGATTGTATGGGTGATGTTCAACTTTGGTTGTTTTATGCTGAGGGGTAATTTTTTAAATTTATCTTAAAACAATTGTAATTATCAATAATTGATCAAAAACCATTATAACAGTCAATCTTTTGGAATAAATTAATAATTCAGCTCAGCTGAACAGTGAAAAAAATTAGAATAATGTCACTTAAATTGTACAATGGATTTGTCACCTTTTGAACTTTAAACTACAATTGGTTCCAATATTTTTATTTTTAAGCAGCTAACAGTCACTTTAATAACACCCAGATCAAACTGAATTTTATTATGCAATGATGGAATAAATATCCTGTTGGAAGTGATTCTAACCAAACCAAACCAAATATTTTAAACAATCAAATTAAAACAGATTTAATCTTACTGCCTACAGTGGAATATTGAAGACATAAGCATAAAACTGACCACATGACTTGTCAATTAGTCAGATGGCTCTTACATGGACTTAATCTAATCTAGGACTCCCACCAAAGTACAATGCAGTATTTCAAAATAATCAAATATAGTCCTATTTATTTGAAATCCAAGGTTTAAACAATGGCATACAAATTCAATGTCAAGTACTTAGTTTATATTTATTTTAAACATTCATGTTCTTTTTAAAACTATCTTTTACTATTCATTTATTGTCTTTTATCTTAAAACCATGCTACTTATGTCCTTGCAAAATACTTTATCTGAAAATATTATATTGTTTATTGGTCTGACATTATCTAGTAAACTGACTTAAAATTATAGTGACATCCTTTTCATACTTAACACAAAATACAATGTACACTTTTTTCTCTGCTAAATCCTCAACATTAGCATACACAACTCATTGTATGCATATAATTATACAGATAGAACAAACACAAAAATTAAAATCACAACAATAAAATTCTAAAACTCTGGCACAATTCTTTAAAAAACTATACAAGTAAATTCATTAAATATACAAGTAATTCACAAACAATGTATATAGTTACTATAAAAATATATAAAAAGAAGTCACAGTTATAAAATAAAGGCATACAATATTTGATATGTTTTATAAAGGAATACAATATTTGATATGTTTTGCACAAGTGATATGTAAAAATGATATGTTTTATGAACATTAAAACAATATATGACAACACAGAAACAATCTTTTCACACAGACTTTTCAAATAAAGGCACTGACAGTTATCGAAAACTTCAAAATGCAAATTTCAACTGTACACAAATTGTAATGACGTGAAAAGATTGTCTCAAATCCATGTTTAAAAAAAATACTTCCCTAAAAAAGTTGGAATAACAAACACCAAAAGGTAAATTCAAATCACATTATGCCCATCCATGTGTAATTGGTGAGTGCACAGGTAAAGGCTTAAAAAAAAATAATTAGTAGTTTTTCTATATTTCTTTTCTAAACATTTTTCATCATCAAATATTGGTCAATCACCATTATAACAGTCAATCTCTTGATACATATTACTGATTTATATTAACTCAACTAAACAGTGAAAAACGAGCATAATGTTACTTTAAATATCATATTTTGATTTTGTAAAAGTACAATATTAGATTTGTAATGAAATATTATACTTTTTTTTAATATATTTATTGCCTGTAAATAGGCATGGGAAGCATTTTGTATTTTGCAAAATTCTTACAGATTAACCTTTCCTAACTGTAGAAGACATGAGAAACCTTACTGAACTTCTGCATAACAAAAAAATTGTTCTTTTTTTCCAATTATATGTGTCAGTCAACCTTACATATACAAAGTAGGGCATCTATACATCTGCTTCATTGTCTATCATTTGTATCATTATACACGCATACCAGCTGCATCTCATATACATGAAAATATAACTAGAATATTGTGTGAAGAAAAAGGTGATGAAAATAATATAATGAAACTGTCCATCAGATTGAATTGGGATTATTTGACTTCAAACTGGCTCGAAATGTAATATCATTGCATTCAATGTCAATGTTTGTATAGTTTATATCAGCATATTTGGAATGTCAATCCCTGTGGTCACTTATTATACACCCTCTAGTCGAAAGCTTCATCCGAGTACGCACTATCATCATCATTATCGCGTGTGAGTCTCGATGAGGGGTCCAGCCAGCGTGTTGTATGTCAGTACTGCTGTGTCGAGGTCTTGTCCATGTTGGAGTGAAGTTCCAGCTCTTCCATGTCAACGGCATCACGATAATCAGTCAGCTCTTTCGATATCCTGATTCGCGTGTAGTTTGCGGCCAATGTTATCATAAAGTGTAACTGTGGAATAAGAAAAAATATATGACTATTAATAATCAATTTTAAAGGGACACCTCTTAGGAATTTTGTTATGAGATTACCAAAAATTAATTTTTTTTGAGATTTGTGTAACATTAATTTTGATGTAGGTCTGAAATTTCATATTATTCCATCAGAATATTAATTTTTATCATGCAAAATGACCAAAAAATTAAAAGTGTTGCAGCAGCTTTCACTCAAAATGGGCACTATCTATTTTTAATTTAAGTCGGAGTATGCTTCTTTATTATCCTTTTCAGATTTTTCAATATTATATAAAATGCACTAGTAAAACAGCATAAGGGCATCAAGACTAATGACTCTGGAATAAGTGCTTCACTTAATCTATGTTAAAATTTCAATTTTTACGTTTTTAGAGAACAGTAGAGCTCCTTTAAGACATAATCATTTGAAATACATGTAAAATGCACATTAACTGACAATTTGTTTTTTTTTTAAATTTTTTAGAAACAACCACAGTATTTCAATAATTTTGTTTCTGAAGTAAACAATTTTGTGACATTGAACAATCTCTTAAACAACCTCTAAATAATGCCATTCTCTTGAGATTTTTTTCTTTATGCAAATTAGAAGTCATTGTAGACAGTATCCAGAGTAAAAAGCATTTAAGGTCTTTATCAAATCAATAGCTTGAATAAAATTTGCATAATATTCTGCCTTTCATGCATTACGGTAGTTGAATATATTGGTTTGTTTTGGTGAAATGGGAGTTTGTAACAAGACATTAGACACATATGGACATACAAATGATCTCACTGCTCTCATCTTGTTTACAACCAACATTACCATATTACATGTGTACTTCCAAAATGATTGTATGAAATAAATACTGCAGTTTATTGCCTTAAAAACAAATGGCAAATGCACTAAAAACATTGCCCTACTTAAAATAGCAGTATAATATTTTGTTCCAGAACATTTTATTCTGTTTGCAAACAATATTCGTGTGTGTTAAGTAACAGAGACATATTATTTTACAACTTTTTCGAGAATCGACCATAAGATTGTGGAAACAATATAATTTTACTATTGATTAATTGAATGAAAATATTTCATAAGGTATAGCTTTATACCTTTAATGGCAGAAAAAAAGATCTACAGGTCTGTATAGAATAATAATGCAGTATAGGGGGATTCTAAGTTTTTATCACATCTTGATAGGGAAATATAATATTAAAGCTGCTTTTGATATTCAAAACATATGCATGATTTGCAATATGTTATTATTATCATACACAGATTTAACTTTTTCGGCGATGATTTCTTCCAAATGGACCTTGCGCCTGTATCTGGCGGAGATTAAATTATCAAACTATGCAAATTAAACTAATTAAAACGGTACATACAAATCACTACCCATGATATTTTGGGTTACAAACTACCAGATTTGCATGCATCAAATAGGATGCATATATTTTGAAGCTGTGCGTCTTTCTAGATTTTTATGCATCTCTGAAGCAGGATGCACTTTTAGATTAATCACTGTTTACAAGTTTATCATTAATGTTATTTGCAGACACATTATGAGTGACACAATGTCATGACCAACTTGGAACACCATATGTTTCCCAAAAACACATATCATTACATTTGTAATAAATTTACTTAACAATTTCAGTTCTAATGGCATTCATGACATGCCTATGACACCAGTTTGTCAGGCCAGCCTGCCCATCTGTGCAATCTGTTCCGTTCATGCATTTTTTATATTGAAATCCCCTTAAGTAACAATGTGCAGGTTCAATTTCAATGTTGGACAAGTCCATTTGTAACAGACCCGTGTTGCTTTTGCGACTCCGTAAAAACGGTATTGCACAGCCATGCATATTATATTTGGCATGATGTCATTTGCGGTAAAGAATCATAGTGTCTAAATGCTAGTGTTAATGTAAGTGCCCATCAATGAAAAAAACAGTTCTTTTTTTGGGCATGACTGTGATAAACAGAACATTGTATTCGTGTAGCTTCATTACTAAATTTATTTTAACTTGTTGAATGAAATAACATTATGCTTTTCCAGAAGCCCTCATTTAATTTTATTCAACTTGTTCAATCTATTCAGTATTGAACCTACACTTCTTTGTTGTCATCTTTTTAATAAATTTAGTGGTAAAAGGGTTAACTATCTGTATAAGCTTAAAGCATGAAATATTTTACTATAATTGATCATAATACTCACCATGCCTAGGCAGATTAAAGCTGCACCAACATAGGCTATACAAAATAGTGGGCCAGCCTCTTCTATCTACAAATATTATATCATACAAATATAATACAATACAAACAAATTGTATAATACAAATATATCATAATCATGTAACATGTAGAGCGTGAAACTTATTGCAGTATTTTTATATGACATAAACTATTAGTATTACATTGACTTTTTTTGCCCTATAAAAGCATTAGTTATTTATGTATGGGAAACTAATGGGCGATAACAAAACCATAAAATATTCTAAACCATAAAACACACTCATAAAATGTATGACTATATTTAAATGTTGTAAATGTCAAAATTTTTACAATTTACAACTTAAAGAAAAAATAAAGGCCCAGCACATTTTATTTTTTTGTCTGTGTTTGGTTCTCCAGATTTATGGAGTCAAAAATAAATATTTTACTGACATTTAGTCCTGAAAAAATGTTCAGTATTGGAAGTTTTGCTATCAGGTATTGCATGTCTAGATAGAATAATCAATATAGAAGGAACAAAGTAAGGTTTTTTAAAGAGTTTGAACTGAAGTCAAGAAGATTCTGGATTACAGAGAATCCCTGGATTGGGAGTTTTACATGTAATTGTAATTATATGTATTGCTTAATTCTAAATCAAAGAATAAGTGCTTTAAATATGAAAAGAATAAATGGCAATACCTTTACCATAAAAAATGATAATTAAATCCACTAGAAGACATGTAGCTACAGTAAAGTATTATTCAGATTGAAATAAATTTAACACAATTGATGGTACATGTATGTAAAAAGTGTTAAACTAATGTATACATGTACAACACTTTATTATAGAGTACAAAAACATACATCTTCACCATTAAAACACTATGACCATCATGCTAAAGATTTGCAAGACTGAAAAGCCATATAAAATTTATGAAACATCTGAAATGAACTTCATTAATAATCATTAATGAACTTAGTACTCACTCTATCACAGAATCTTCTTAGTTCTGTATGTCCACATAACTCTTCCTTACCAGGTGCTTGTATATTGAGAGGATAACTCTGATTTCTATACACACCTTAAATATAAAGACAAAAATAATTATTATAAATTATATTACACATACATAAAGATTTACATATGCAGATATCAGAACAACAGGTGTCCATAAGACAGTGTGCTTTAATAGTAAGAAAAGGAACAAACCTCTGTTTAAAGGTAACTCAGAGTTATGGGTCTTGTGCACATACTGTTGGAATATCACACAAAACTAGAACTATCGCTGAATGCGATTCATACCCCCACCAATGTCCTTGACAGAAGAGGACTTGGAAAGGTGGTTAAGGCAATAACTTGTGTGGCACAAATACATAAAAAGAAATTATCTCTGGTGAAAAAAAGACTAATAGTACAGGTAATAGTATAAATATATTATCAAATCATGTTCGAAACAGTTACAAAAAACTTTTCATTTTCCCTATGTACTAAACATTTTATTTTTAAGTCAATTTGTGACCTTCAAGTGTGGCCTTGACCTTAATCTGGCACACAGGTAACATGGGTTTTGCACATCGCCCAGTTGGGGTGAACATTTGAGTAAAGTTTGAAGAAAATCCTTCCATTAGTATAGAATTTATAGAGCGGACACAAAATACTGTCCAGTATTGATTGTATGTAAATTTGAAGACTTAAAAAGGGGCATAACTTTGTCAAAATGCAATACAGAGTAACGAAACTTGACCTGCATATCTTATTTGCGACATCTCGTATATCTTAAAGTTTCAAGCAAATACCTGTGCTAGTTTCAGAATTATTCAAGTACATGTTAAAATTCAAGAACATTTTCTAAGTCAATTATTGACCTTCAAGTGTGACCTTGACCTTTAGAAGGCACACAGGTGACATGGATTCTGCACATAACCTTGTTGAGGTGAACATTTGAGTAAAGTTTGAAGAAAATTCTTCCATTAGTATGGGATTTATAGAGCCGACACTACATATTGTCTAATATTTGATTGTATGTAAATTTGAAGACTTAAAAAGGGGCATAACTTTGTTAAAATGCAATACAGAATTATGAAACTTGACCAGCATATCTTAATTGTGACACTTCATATACATTTTAAGTTTCAAGCAAATACCTTTTCTATATTCAGAAATATTCAAATAAATGTTAAAATTTAAGAATATTTTCTAAGTCAATATTTGACCTTCAAGTGTGACCTTGACCTTAAGCCGGCAAAAGGGTGACATGAGTTCTGCACATCCCCTTGTTGAGGTGAACATTTGAGCCAAGATTGAAGAAAATCTTTCAATTAGTGTAGGACTTACAGAGCGGACACGACATACAGTGTAATATTTGATTGTTTGATATTTGACCTTCAATTGTGACCTTGACCTTGAGCTGACACATGGGTAACATCAGTTCTGCACATCCCCTTGTTGAGGTGAACATTTGAGCCAAGTTTGAAGAAAATCCTTCAATTAGTGTAGGACTTACAGAGCGGACACAACATACAGTGTAAAATTTGATTGTTTGATATTTGACCTTCAATTGTGACCTTGACCTTGAGCTGACACATGGGCAACATGGGTTCTGCACATCCCCTTGTTAAGGTGAACATTTGAGCCAAGTTTGAAGAAAATCCTTCAATTAGTGTATGACTAACAGAGCGGACACGACATACTGTGTAATATTTAATTGTTTGATATTTGACCTTCAATTGTGACCTTGACCTTCAGCTGATACATGGGCAACATGGGTTCTGCACATCCTCTTGTTGAGGTGAACATTTTAGCCAAGTTTGAAGAAAATCTTTCAATTAGTGTAGGACTTACAGAGCGGACACGACATACTGTGTAATATTTGATTGTTTGATATTTGACCTTCAATTGTGACCTTGACCTTGAGCTGACACATGGGCAACATGGGTTCTGCACATCCCCTTGTTGAGGTGAACATTTGAGCCAAGTTTGAAGAAAATCCTTCAATTGGTATGGGAGTTATAGAGCGGACACGAAAATGGAGACGGACCGACCGACCGACCGACGGACGGACCGACGCGACAAAGCGAATCCATTATAGCCCCCCCCACATTTTGTGGTGGGGGTATAACAAGTGTGTGATATTTTAACCCATTCCTTTTAGTAGTTTTGATGATACCATCATGCACTTCCATGCTGACTGATCATGGTTGCATTTTTCGTCATTCAATCATATTTAAATAAAAAAAAAGTTCCCTTTTGATAAATAATAAATAGTTTTGTCCAGATTGTAAATTGGGCAAATCATTTTTTTCCTGACTTTCAAGCTTTACAGGTGCCCCTTTGCATTATTTCAGCCACCAGCAGGTACCTGGGGAGAACTACTGACTTTCAGTGGCATTCTCACATAAAAGAATCCAAAGACCCTTGAATGTCTCCAACATCACCTACAGCAGTGAGGGGCAAGTGATTTGAAGTCAACAATCTTAAGCACTTGGCCATGGATGACCCGACAGCAAGTCCATTTAATGTATGAACCATGTATGGGTTAAGCACTGTTTACAGGAAACATTCAGGTTTTGATATATTTATAATTATCATACTTACCAAACTGTGTCAGACTGAAACAATAATTTGTGAGGCTTGCAGCATCTTTACTGTATATCTCTGTGTTACATATTGACCTCAACATGAGGTAAACAATCACTGGTATAACACCAACAGACATGATCACCAGCCAGGCTAGGTTCAAGATGTACGATATCACCATAAACTGAAAATACATAAGGCATGGTAACCCTAAGTAAGTGTGGTGTAGGGTAAGTAGGATAATTTCTTTATTTATATATTTAAAAAACAACTTTTTAAATTGATTGTATAGAAAGTTCAAAAGGGCAAATAAAAAGTCTATGGTCAGCACTAACAAGAGCTGTCACAGGAGACAGCGAAGCTCGACTAATAAAATACTGGACGCAGTAAGGAGGACAAAACTATGAAAGAAAAATCAATTATGTATAATTTAATGTATTAAGTTATAGTAAAAAAACATTTGTTAACATAAATTCCAAGATCAAGGGGAATAATTCTAGAAATAGTCATGCTAGAGTTATGGACCTTGCCACACAACATTTGTGTAATGATAAGAAATATATATTTGAAGTTTGAAGTAGATACCTTAAAAAGTAAAGAAGTTATTATATTTCTTAAAGAAAATCCTAAGTTCAAAGAGAAATAAATCTGTAAATATTGCTTCAAGAGTTATGTACATTGTCACATAAAATGTAATTGATGATAAGGAATAAGTATTTGAAGTTTGAGGTAGATACCTTTAAAAATAAAAAAGTTATAATAAAAAATAACATTTTTCTAGTAAAAAAAATCTAACTTTATGGGGAGATAATTCTTGCAATATTGGTGCAAGAGCTATGAACCTTGTCGCATAAGATGTGGATGATGATAACGTAAATATATTTGAAGTATGAAGTTGATCCCTTTAGAAATAAATAAGTAACAGTAAAAAATGATATTTTTTATGGAAAATTCTAAGTTCAAAGGGAGATAAATCTGAAAATATTGGTGCTAGAGTTATGAACCTTGTCACATAAGATGGGGGCGATGATAACGTAAATATATTTGAAGTATGAGGTTGATCCCTTAAGAAATAAAGAAGTAACAGTAAAAAATAGTATTTTTTAAGGAAAATTCTAAGTTCAAGGGGAGATAAATCTTAAATATTGGTGCTAGAGTTATGAACCTTGTCACATAAGATGTGGTTGATGATAAGGAACATATATTTGAAGTTTGAAGTTGATACCTTAAGAAATGACAAAGTTATAGTGAAAAATATTTTACTGCACCAAAACTTTAATCTAAAATCTGGACGCGGACGCCGGGGCGAGTAGGACAGCTCTCCATATACTTCGTATAGTCGAGCTAAAAAGGGTGTAGGACTGGTACAAAGTTGGGACATCCTACTACTTTGGAAGGGGCCTAAAGAATTTGTCCTTGGAATTTGAAACTGCCAACTATTAATACGAGATATTAAGATTTACAGGTAAGCAACATTCAATATAGATTCTTTTAGTCCAAATAATCATACTCTAAAACAAGATGTTATGTCTGGGAAATATTCTCTGCTAATACCTGTGACCTAGCTTGATAAAAGTCTGAATCTGCCTGAGTTGTCACATTATTTGGACTAGACTATGGGTTATAGAAAAATCTATCAGAATTAAGAATCTATTAGACTGCTTGAATGTCAAGCTAGCTTGGCTTAAGATTACTGGTTTATAGGTACTTACAGAAAATATCATTGATTACTGACACTGTTGTATAGATTGTTAAAAAAAAAATTCCTGTTAACTAACTAAAGCCATTACTGCTGGCTAAGAGTTATTGAAAATATCATTTATCATTGACACTGTAACAGAAACATTTCTATATAAATTGTTTTTAAAACAAATTCAAAATGCTATAATACTGCTTAGCTAAGCAATTAATACTATTGCCGAAGAGTTACTGAAATTATTATTGATTGCTGACACTGTAATGTAACAGAAGCATTTCTTTCTACATGTAAATTGTTTCAAAAAAAAATTCCCATTGTATTAAAGATCAAGAACAGAAAATTTAAATTTTCCACACATTACAATGTATATGAGAAATATTTATAGTATAATGTTGAAATATTTGTCACCATATCTGTTATCATAATATGACCTTTGAATTGATATTACAATGTTTTAAACTGATAATATATTGTATGGTGCACAAGTACCAGTTTTATCAAAGAGTGCAAACAAAAATTTAGCTTAACCTTTACCCAGAAGGAACCTTAAGTGATAAGCCTTTTTCTTAATACAGTTATATATATATGAGACGCGTCACGACAAAACCAACATAATGGGTTTGCGACAAGCATGGATCCAGACCAGCCTGCCCATCCGCGCAGTCTGATCAGGATCCATGCTGTTCGCTATCAGTTTCTCGTCTTGTTATATGGTTCGTAAGCGAACAGCATGGATCCTGATCAGACTGCGCGGATGAGCAGGCTGGTCTGGATCCATGCTGGTCGCAAACCCATTATGTTGGTTTTGTAATGACGCGGCTCATATATAGTGCCAGGCAGCACCTTGTACATCCATACAGTCTGACCAGACCGCTCTATTCAGTGGGCAGACCTGACTTTCAGTTGTCAGCCTGATACCTCTATAACTGATGATTACGGATGCCAGACAATTCCATTTTTGAAATTCTGTAGACTAAGGGTGAAGGATGGTGAAGAATAAAAGATCAAACAGAAATGAATACTAGAAAAGTTTTGCCATATCAGCTATATGCTAATCAATAAATTTTAAACAATTATATATACATGTACAGTATCATGCCCTTTGTATTACAATTTTTTTCTCCCTTTTGTCATGATAGGCAAATATTCTTAGTTTCATATTGATATCTTTAAAATTGTTTTAGTAATGGCCTACATTAAAGTTTTTGCACAACAACGAGGCCGCAGTTATCATAAATAGTAACAGCTTGACTTTTTCTTATAACCAGAAGTGCTAATAAAAAATGGACAGTCATTCAAAATTTAACAGACATGTGCACCTGAAATTTAATTTTTCCTAAACATTTTTCCTACTTGAAATTCTTTACCACATGAACTTGGACATATACTGACATTTGGTTAACCTTTCCACAATACAAAACATTTCAAAACATAAACTGCCACAAACAGCCTAAGATTAAAAATTACCTAGTTTTTTTGTATGTGTTTTCAGAAAAAGTCTAGTCAACCAAAGTAAACCTAAGTTGAATGATTTCTGAACAGAAAAAAACCAACTATTAATGGGCTTTATCTATTTAATGTAACATTTAATTGATGATTTTAAAGTCATGTATCAAAATAAAAACTAACGATTCAATCTAACAGCAATGGAAACCTACAAATGAATGGAAAATTACCCATCAAATCATATACTATGATTTTCGGCAAGGATGGGCATTTCTTTTTATCGTCTCTACACCTTTTTTTTGGCGGGGGGGGGGGGGTTAGGGATTGGAGAGAAAAGGGTCATTTTATCAGATCAGAACGTTCACTGTTAGTATGAGCAAATCAATGTGATAGTTTTGAAGGAGCTCCACTGAGGTCCTAAAGTCTGAAGATATAAAATTTGAAATTTTCGCATATCAATCAACAAGTGCCCTTAATATTTGAGAATAAGCAACCCATAATGAAGACAACTACTTGAGATCTAAATTGAAAATCACTTTTTTTTACAAAATTCATTTCAAAAAGAGGTGGTCGACAAAATGCAATAAACATAATATTATTGCAAATAAATTGAAATTCAAAAGATAAAGATCCACCCCTTTTCCAAATTTTTTATTATGTTTTAAAATAACCAGGAGACACTGAAATATTTAGTATTATGTTATCAAACAAGAGCTGTAAGTCATACAGTGAGTTCTACTATTCTCAGTGCTTAACAGTAACAAAAGTCTGGTTAATGTAGGTATTAACAAAGATGAAGATTTCATTCACAAAAAACACAACAACTTATAATACACATGACACATACAGTCATGTAGTTATGAGTTTTGGATGATGAGGATCAAATTTTGTTCAGTTTATAAATTCAAAATCCATGTCAGAGTAATGGGTCTTGGAAAGTGACCTTCGAGAAACAATCAGTAGTTTAATGAAAGATATATGCTGCACCAAAATTTTTCTAAAGTCATAGTTCAGTCAAAATTTATGGCAGATATATGGCCCTCGGAAAGTGACATACAAGACATGCATTAAGTTTCAAGTGAATACCTTTAGTAGATAAATTGAAGATTCATGTTGCATGCAAAACTTTAACCAAGAATTTTCACAAAGGGCTATAATTCTGCCAAATCTTTGCTAGAGTAACAGGCCTTGGATAGTGACCTCAAATCGTGATTACAAAGAGATGTAGTAAGTCTCAATTGGACATCAATTGGGGCAGTTCACCATAACTGACTGGTGCATAAATGCAATTCAACATTATATGCACTGAAAGTACTTCAATCTTGCAATTTGATCTCTTTCTCACTGATTATGAGTGTATTCGACAGGTCTATTGTTACCTGTTCAGTGTTATTATTTTCGTTATGAATTCTCTCAAACTTTTACACTTCCGAAAATTCAAAAGTATTAAGAGTTCAAGGCCATAAAAAACTGAAATTCAGCATGGCAGGTGCATTTATCATTAAAGGAACTCCACTAAGGTCTAAAGGTCTAAAACAGAAAATTTCACAAGTATTAAGTGAAGGTAAAATATTAAGTGAAGAACTTAATATGGAAAATTCTGCAAAAGATAACAAAGAAATATACTCAGATTTAACTAAAAATCGTATTTTGTATGATTCTTAGGCAGACTGGGTTGCCTGCTTTTTATTTTTGGGTCATTTTCTCCATAAAAATTATTATTCTGGTAAGAATAACCTCAAAATTTGCACACAAGTTATTGGTCCTGACCTTCATTAGTTGGAACACAAATCTCAGAAAAATATTTCCAGTCCTGTCATGTTGAAAAACGACATTGAGGTATTAGATGCCCTAAGCAGTATCTCCTTTCTGAAGAGTATTCATTTTCAGTGAAGAGACAGAGCTTCGATAGGGTGTGGGTTCAAACCCCAGAAGAGGCAATATATTTTTTTTCCTTCAATTTTTGACTTTTTCTTCTTTTTGATTAATCAGATTATGATTTTCTTTCTTTATTTATATCTAAAATGTGAAATCAAAAT